TTACCTACTTTATCAGTAATGACTCATCAAGATCTTGGGAGATTTATTTATAGCACCTGTTACTTGATCTTTTTAACTGAAGACTCCAGAGATTGAATGTAGCCTTATATGCATCTTGTGCATTGCTATCTGTCACTGATGTATGGCTCGTCTCCTAATAGACTCAATCCTTCTTAAGCCTAATGAAATCAATGGACTAAAAACACAACAGTATTGGCACTGTCCTTCTCTGTATAGTTGCAATGATATGCTTGGAATTGTCTTGTCAACAGAGAATAAACAAAACGTAGCTTCTAAAGCTTGGAAATATACAATCATTAAAGATAGGGAGAATAGAGAGTAAAACAAAATGTACACAAAGAAAACAAATCCATAGACAGAATTCAAAAGAACAATAAGGTTTTTAACTAATACATTGCTAAAAGAATGTATTCCTTTACTCTTTATTTAGTTGCTTATTATAAAAATATATTAAATACACATCTACAATATTTTTCTCCTGTTCCATTCTGTTGAAAATATATATTCCCACTGAGTGATAAAACAGGAAATAAGTATTTTTATACTGTAGCTAGATTAATGAAGAGTAATGTGTATCATTTCAGCCATCTGAATGGAAAGGTATAGATCTACCTGTGTGAAGAACTGTACTGACAGTTATTTTAAAAATTGAGTGATTACATATAAATAGAGAGCTTCTAGTCCCATATCAATGTAGGTGTGTGGGTGTAAGTGTGTGTATATATAAACACACAAACACATGCACACACATATAACATACACTTATCTTCCACATATTTACTTAAAAGTAAGGACATTGACCAGTAGCTTCAGATACAGGTAGTCCTTAAGTTATGAACCTTCATTCAGTGACTGCTCAATGTTATGGCAGCACTGAATGAAGGGAGATATCACTGGTCCCCCAAGTTATAGCTGTTGCAGAACTCTTGCAGATATGTGACCAAAATGTGGCACCTGGCAGCTTGCCAGCACTTACGACTGCAGGAGTGTTTCAATTCCTGCTTCCCCTACCTACCTGTCTCCATCTATGCCTTTTGGCTCCTTGCCATCCATGCCACATGCTAGCTAACCGTTGCTCTCTTGCTTCCACCACTGACCACACATGCCCAGCTGCTGGCTGCATGAGGCTTTTTTTCCCAGGTCACACACTGCAGTTCCCTCGCAAGACCTGGAGAAGATGGACCTGTGGCAGCAGATGCCTCATGAAGGGCCAGAGTGGACCTGCCTCATCAGCGGCAACAGAAAAAAACTGGAAAAGTTCAGCTGGGACTGTGGAGTGACAGTGGCCTTGGAGTACAACTGTGGCTGGGACTGAGCTGAAATACCCCAGGATGGCTGCAGCTTGTACCACACTGTTGCTCCTGGGACTTCCCCGGGCACAGTGGCTTTGTATTGTACTGTTGGGATGGCCGAGGCTTTGAGAGGGAGCTCAACTTTGTATTGTGCTGCAGATGAGGGGCCTTTTGCGGATCTAGAGTTGCCCTTGAAGAAGCACTTGAGTGCAGAGTGGCAAGCAGCCCCAGAACCATTAAGTTCTGGGTTTTTTGCTGCCCTGAAAGGCAGAGTGCAGGGCATCTAAAAGGGCAGAGATAAAGGGAGTCCCTTACTTTACTGAGATTCAGGGCTGGGACGGACCAAACCTAGAATGGCTTAGATTGGGATGGATCCCAGGCTATCAACCAGTGGAATTTAATTAACGATAGCAATGGGAGTGCCATTATTGCTAACAATAGCAATGGGAGTGCTATTGGGGGAGTGCTATGGGGGTGCTATTATTGATTGCTGTTAATAAGTGAACTGGTTATACAATGTCATGCTTTATGGTCACATTGCAATGGAAGCAATGGAACTTCTGATACCATTTGTGATAATAAATCAAGGACTACCTGTATTATTAATTTGGCCATCCCTACACTCCCCCCACCCCCATGCATAGCATTCTGAATCTTGCTGGTGCTTGTTATGATCAAGGAAGAATTTGCCCAAAAGGAATTACTGGGAATTTGAAATGAATATGCATTTAGTGTTGGATTAGAGGATGGGGGCATCATTTCAGATGAATTCAACATTCAAATACGAGAGGGAGAGGGGAAGAGGGACTGACATTATTTTAAGAGTAGCCATTATGTTCAACAACAACAATTCAAATAGCTATAAAATGCTATCAGTGCAGGCCAGAGCATTGTCTTTTCCTTTGTTTAGTGAAGGGATTGCTGCTTTTGCCAGTGACTTTTCTTGGCAGTTGGCTTTTGGCACATCACTATTGTTCAAATAGCCTTTTCCAAAGACATAGTTCCTTGATTGATAACTTAAAGCTAGTCATATCGAGACTGTTTATCTAGCTAGCCAGTATTTCATGTACAGTTGCATGCTTCATAACTTCAACCATAACAAGAACTGTGGCAAGATGCTGTCTTTGTGGGATTAGCAGCTGCCCAGGCAAAGCTTATATATTTTTAGAAGGTTGCTTGTTTGTGTAAACTAGCCTTAGTCCATATATGTTAACAAAATATAATACAATAAAGTTGCCAAAAAACAACAACAACAACAACCAAAAACCAGCCCTATTAGAAAAGCCTAGGAATGAAATTAATCTTGGCAGGCAAATTGAAAAGCCAAAGAAAAAGGAAAGATTTTTTCTATACATGAGGCTATATTTTTAAATATAAAATATAATTTATATGGCTTTTCCCTTAATAAAGAGCAAACCCACCACAATCATTACAATGATCATTTTTCATAAACAGTATTGAAATGCATAAAATAACATGTTACTTCCAAGCTAGCAAACCTGATGTACCTATACATAATAATGCATGTATAATGGTAACTGAAAGATGCTAAAATCCGGACTATTAGCATCTATTTCTGTAAATACATGGGCAATAAAAGAAATATACATATTGATTCCATTTCATGTCTTTAAAAATAGCTTTTGTTTGCATTTTAGGGGCTTAAGTTTAAGAAAAAGATACCCCAGTCTAATTTACAAGCAGGTTATATAGTCCTGAAATAATAAAACATTTTCATGGGAAGTCAATAAGTGTTTACTGAAATTAGACAAAAAGGCTTGACGCAAGATACCTTTTAAGCACTTCTAATTTTGAATGGAATGAAGAACCAACGTAGTATAGTGGTTAGGGGCACCAGGAGATAGTGAGTTCCAGTTCTCCCTGGGGCACAAAGTGCTAGGTGACCTTGAGCCAGTCACTCTCTGTCAACCCTAGAAAAAAGGAGCTGGCAAAGTCCTTCTGAAATTGCCAAGAAAACTGCAAGAGCCTATGTAGTTGCCAGAAGTAAGACTGGCTCAAAAGCACCTGCCCCCAAACCCACTCTCGTTCCCTTATAGGGCTAGGGCATCTTAAGTCTTCCTTGTATAGGCTAGTCATATCCATTCTTGAATTATAAATGAGAAATTTGCTATAAATGTTTTTACACTATTACTTATATGCAATTTGTGCATGGCTTTTAGAGCACGCAGATGTACTCATTTTTTATATTGGAACAGAACTTATTCCATGCAAAGATGGAATGATATAGCCAAATTAGATCTAGGTAATTTTTGTAAGAGATACAGATAACATCATTCAGAAATATGACATGGCTACTAAAGTTTATAGCTCATATCTGGCTTAAGAAAGATATCTGTTGAAGTGTCTATTTATGAGCATCAATTCCTATATGGCCTCATTTACTAATCAAATAATAGCATCATTAATGATGCTATTTCTTTTTTTATTTTGAAACAGATATTTTGCCCATTGGCCAAAGCTCAGGATGACCTGAAAGTAATGTAGTAATTAGAATGTTGATCCATTTGTATTCATTGGAAAATTTGGAAACATTTCCATGATTGAAAAGTATCAGAATTAAACTGATATTTTTCACAATGGTTTCAAGAAAAATACCATTTTTCTTGGTTTAACAAACAGCTAACCTGAAGAAGTTAAATATGTCACAATGAATGGCTTAAAGACATTTTTTTCTTAAGTGTAATAGCAATTTCTTATATTTTCTCATGTTAAATATATATTTATAAAGTCTACATAACTGCACTGTGTAAAATCACTGGTACTTATCATGGATTTTATGTTGCTTAAAACGTATTTTTGGACTTTGCTCCGTGTTGTGGAAGCATACTGAATAGACACTTAGACATGAATAATAATGAAACTAGCCAATGGTTAAATTTGTTTGTACTCTATGTACTCTAAACTTTCTAAGAGAAATCTGATGTTCAAAGAAATGCATTTAAACACTTGGCATCATTAAAAATGTGATGATGACCTTTGCCAATAATTCACTTTATCTGTTTATACAAATATTCTGTAAACATCTCTCTGCATAAAATTTCACTATAAACTTTTAATTGTTCATTTTGGCCAAGAATTTTTATGCTTTCATTCCAGCATATTAGTTGTCATAAACTAAATATAATAATCACAAAATAAATGTAGTAATAAAACCCTAAATTTGGGATTTGGTAAGCAATAAAATAAATACATGTGTCAAGTTCTTTTCTTGATTGCACATTTTATATTGGAAGCTAAAGTGTCACAAAACATGAAAATAAATGTCTATCATTATTGTTGTCAGTATTATTATTTAGTAATTAACCATAAAATTCTAATACAACAAGAAGGTAGCAATTCCAAGCCAAGAAAGCCTTCACTTTCAAAAAAAAAATTGATGAAAGTTTTCTGAATACTTTACTGTTATATAAAGTTATACATCCATGCCAAGTTATTCAACATCATATAGCAATAGTCTTTTATTAGGGGCCAGGATGTTACCATCAGTTCATTGAGGATGGAACTATGTAATGTAAGTAAAAATTCCAAGCTGGAAGAGTTAACATAAATATTTGTGTTTATAGTATGAAGAAGACATTTCAGTTTTTGAAGCTGGGAAGAAAAGGAGTGACAGTATTTTCCATTTTAGAAACGCTGAGGCACAAAACACAGTTGCTTTTAGAATTTTCATACATGAAATCCTTTGTCTTGTATGTGCATCATGTGTAACCGTAAAGTCTGTAAACTGCTCACTATTCGTCTCTGATGTCCAATAAGAGCAACTCCAATTCTTCTAATGTCACTGCAAGATAAATGTAATGTTGGAAAATATTGGGTGAAGTACAGAAAATATAAAAACAAATTGTTCCAAGCTGAAATATTCAATATATTAAACCTGAAATATTGAATATAATTCCAATATATTATACTATATTTTGTTCTTCTTCTTGAAAACTATTAGAAAATGGATACTGGATATTATACATATTGAGTAACTGGATTTGAAATGTACTGAAAGTTTGCATTTTTTATTCTGGCAAGACTAAAATGCAAATTTTCATTACATTTCAAATCCAGTTACTATTTTTTTATGGGGAATAAATATTTGTTGATTTAACCCATGCCTGCCATTTTGTGATGTATCCTTGCACTTTCTAAAATTCCAATCTTAACCACTGCCATATAAAAATTACATATCCTAATAAATAATGTACTTACTCAATACTCATTCTTGAAACAAGATCCATAGATGTGTACCCTGCTGCCATGAAATTAGCTTTATATTGGCCCATTTTTATTGAGTCCAGCCAATCACTGACTGATACAAAGAAGGGATATTCTATAATTTCACCAGGTGAATCTGGCATTCTGTGAAAAGAACAATATATTATTGATTTAGTAGATTAGTTGTCCATAGGTTTATTCTATAATATTGCTTACACAACAACGATCTCTTTGAAAAGTTCTTAAAAGGGAACCATTTTCCCCAATATCATCACAAAAAATCACCATAAAAATACAAAAGAAAACCTTGATAAACTTTAAAAAATATAACAACTTGAAATAAAATGCTTTGGACTGACAAAAGAAAAACTGAACTATTTTGCCACAATCATAAAGGATCTACTTTGTATAAAGGTGAAATATTTACAGAAAAGAATACTTTAAGCTAACAATTAAGCTTATATGTTGGGCTGTATATGCATTGGGATCAGTGGTGGGGTTCAATTTTTTTTATTACTGGTTCTGTGGCGTGTCTTGGTGGGCGTGGCAGGAAAAGGATACTGTAAAATCTCCAGTCACAGGTGGTATTTGCCGGTTCTCTGAACTACTTAAAATTTCTGCTACTGGTTCTCCAGAACTGGTCAGAACCTGCTGAATACCACCTCTGATTGGGATGCTGTGTCATCCAGGGCTAGAGGGACTGTTACATAAATGAAGAAAATAGATTCAGCTAAATCTCAATATAAACTAGAAATTAGCATTTCTTAGTCAGTGAAAACAAGTGACCCTGAAAAGCTCTGGGAATTTTCACAAGACAATAATCATAACCAGACCTCCAACTCAACTATGAAACACTAACAGGAAAGAAAAATAAAGATTTTAGAATGGCTTTCAAACTCTTGAAACTTGAATAGTATTGACAATCTTTTGGAAGATGTTAAACATGCAGCACATGCAAAGAAAGCTGAGAATAGTTTTGAGGTAGAAGAATTCTACAAGTTAAAGCCTTGAAAAAAATCTATGTGACAGAATAAAGAAGAATTGAAGAAAAATCAAATTCTATGACAATATTTGACTGAATTAAAAATTAAGACTGTTAGAAGTAAAGAAAAGAATATAAAGTTTGTTTATTGGTCAAGGTTAAGATAAGATCCCACCCCGCTTCCTTCCACAATATTCTGGCAATCTTTTATGAACATTTTACTCCAGGATTGAAAAAAATCGTTTTATGGATTTGTTTATAGATAGTGGATGGGATATTGGGTAAAAAGATATCTGTTTAATCTTACAGTGAGTAAAGAATTATTACATTTGTTTATATTTGTGATGAAGTCTGGAAATCACTTCTATATAATACTTCTCTTCTTTTTCTTTATTACATTTTTCTTTTTTCCTGCATGTTTTCTTTATTACATCGTTTTCTCTTTCTCTAAATTTAGTTTGTATTGTTTTTTATTACTGTAATTAAAATTATTAATAAAATATATTTAAAAAATTCTGCCAGGGGAAAATTTCAACAGGAAGTCAGCAGGCTACAACGATTGTTTGGAAGCTATTATTTCTATCCAAGAGACATTACAAAGTACTGACTGAAAAGGTGCACTTTCCATGTACACTACTTTCTTATTTTTGAGAAAAGGTTCTATATGAAGTGGGCAGATCCTATCCACGAGCGATACAATTGCCATGACCACTACCATGTGCCTCATTTGAAAATAAAAAGGCTAAATTTAGGATCAGATGGAAAACATCCCTTCCACAATCAGTACATATAAATCTGATATTAGCTAGCATTATTATTATTATTATTACTATTTTCATTATCAATGATCCAAATAAAAGGATATAAAACATATAAAAAGGTAATACTGAGATGTACAGTATGTGATGATGTGTTTTAATCATAGCAACACAGAAGTTAGCCAAAGTGCTGGAAGAGCAAGGAGTAGAATCACAAAGTATAATAGAAACTTGTCTAATAAAGGTCTGGGGATATTCTGTCATAGAGCAAAAAATAAGACAATTCCACATGTCTGTATAGAAATTACAATGCAGCATAAGAATAAGGGAAACAAAGTGAAATAGCTTCAGTCTTCTCTGAATCACAACAGCCGACATATTTGGATAAGGGGATTTTGGAGTAAGTGCCCAGTTAGGAGTGTTGATGGTCTCACATTATGCAATGCTCGAAAGAAGTTCTTCCTGAAGCTGAAGAAGATCAGACTTCAACATTTGGCTGCTACATGTTTGGCCTTAGCTCCTGGCTGAAGATAGTGGAGGACAGTTAATAAGGAACCTTTGAAACAATATTGAGGTATAAAGAAATGTGCATTAAAGCTTTTGTGACTTTATTAATTTACACACACACACAACTAGTACAAGGAATTTCCTCATGAAGTTTTCCATAGACTTTGAATGAATGTGAGAAGTTACAGGACGAACAGACCGCTCAAGTCTATCTGACATGATAGAGGAAACAAAAAGAAATGATGATGAAAAAAAATCTCTAGTTTAATGCAGAAACAAATCATTATGGTTCTTACATTAGTACATCCTCCACTAAAGTATGAAGAGAGCTTGGGTTTCGTATCAATTTGTCTAAGAAGCTGACGATGTCTGTAAACTTCGGCCGATGGCTTCTTTCCTTTTGCCAGCAATGAAGCATTAGTTGATGGAGGGCAGCCGGGCAGCCCATGGGAGCTGGAAGCCTATATCCTTCTTCAATGGACAGAATGACCTGTGTAGAAAGTGGGAGAGGATATTTATTTATTTAATTATTTATCAAAGTTGTATCCTGTCCATCTCTCCAAATAAGAATCGTAAATTTAAAATTCAGTTAAAATAAAACCAAGCAGGATAGAGAGGGAGGGAGCAAAGTGCATCTGGGGGGAGGTGGGGTGTTTTCTACCCCATTATTTACCTCCAAAGTGTCACACCCATTGGGACCACAGACTAGTTTGCACAGGGGTGTCAAACTCAATTTCATTCAGGGTTGCATCAAGATTGTGTCTGACCTTGGGGGATGTGGATGGATGTGGCCAGGGTGGGCATGGTCAGCTCAACATCACTTATGTTGGGGGCAACTATGATGGTCCAGGTGGGGCTGAGGGGGTCCATTGTCTGCAGTGGAAGAAGGTGAGACCAGGGAGAGCACCAAACCCTTGTCCTCCTGAGGAGCCTTGCTGTCCCTTTCAGGCTACATGGAGGACACCTGGATGGTGACACAGACTGTCCAGAGCCCTAGGCAGTGCTCAGCCCAGTCCTCAAGCTCTCAGGGCACTGGGACCCCACAACTGAGCCCAGCTTTGCTTCCCCAAGGGCTTGCCTGGCCCTGCTTACATCCTCCTTGCGGCTGCTGTTGCTGCACTCACTCTCCTTGGCCAGGTTGCTCATGGTGTGTGCAGGAGGGCAAAGTGTGTGGGTCAGAGGGAGGCCCACTCCCTCTCCATGCAAGGAGACCCGACTTTGTAACCAAAGCATATTCAGCAATAGGATGGGAGACCACCAGGAGACATTGGGAGGAGAGAACAAGGGCATGGCAAAAGGGCAGCAGGGCTGCTGGTGGCCAAGTGTTGAGGCAGGACTTTTATTCCTTTCTCCCTTCCTTCCATTTCTTCTTTTTCCTTCCCTTTTCCTTCTCCTTTCTTCTTCCTTCCCCTCTTTCTTATTCCTTCATTGTTCTCTTCCAATCTTTCCTTCTTTTTCTTTGTCTTTCTTCTTTCCCTTTCTCCTTTCCTTTCTCTTCTTGGTTGCTCAAATGCAAAAGTAGAAACATTTCTCCTTTTGTTTTGCTTTTAGTTTGTTTTGCTAGCTCTCTGCCAGCCAAAATGGAGCCTTGGTCCAGTTTTTGTCCTGGATGGCCTCCTGAAATCCTCTGCCAGCGAAAACAGAGCCTGCAGTCTCTCTTTTCACTGGCAGAGGACTGCAAGAGGCTTTCCAGGCTAAAAAAGGGGCCCAGGGAGCCTCATGTGCCCCTCATCTCCATTTTTGCTGGCAGAGGCATTGCTGTTTATAGGGTAGCCCTGCAGGCCAGATCTAAGCACCCCACAGGCTGGATTTGACCCATGGGCCTTGAGTTTGACACCCCCGAATTAGCACAACTATATCTTTCAAAAGTAGGCCCAGTGGGAGTAGATCTGACCTTGGGTCCAGAGGGTGGAAGCCATAGCAGTAAAGGCTCTTTTTCTGGATCTTACTCGATGGAGTGATATTGTTTTGTTGTTTTCAAATGAAAGCTACATCCAGTATGTAGAACCATAAAGTGTACTGAGTTCTATAAAGGACAATTTATTAAATGTTGTATGATAGATTCTTGTATCACATATCATACTAAATTATGCTTCACTGAATAAACAACAATCTGCTAGATTCATACTACATTTAGTATATTACATTTATAGCCCGCCTTTATTTTGTGCAGGTAACAGATAACAGATAATCAGAGTTGGAAGGGACCTTGTAGGTCATCTAGTCCAACCACCGCCCAAGTGGGAGACCCTACACCATTTCTAACAAATGGCAGTCCAATCTCTTCTTGAAAGTCTCAAGTAATGACGCTCCCCCAACTTCTGAGGGCAAGGCGTTCCATTGGTTGATTGCTCTCACTGTCAGAAAGTTTCTCCTTATTTCCACGTTAAATCTCTCCTTGTTCAGTTTCCATCCATTATTCCTTGTCTGGCCTATAGGCGCTTTAGAAAATAACTTGATCCCTTCCTCTCTGTGGCAGCTCCTCAAATATTGGAAGACTGCTATCATGTCTCTCCTGGTCCTTCTCTTTACTAGACTAACCAAGCCCAGTTCCTGTAACCGTTCTTCATATGTTTTAGTGTCCAGTGCCCTAATCATCCTGGTTGCTCTTCTCTGTACCTTTTCTAGAGTCTCAACATCTTTTTTGTAATGTGGTGAACTATTGTAATGTGCAATTCAAGATGTAACCCTCACCCAGCCAGCTTTCCCACCTTACTTTTGTTAAACCAAAACAAACTACACAGAAGTTTTGGCAAGGGTTCTCAAACTTTAGGTCACCTATGGCTTAATAATACTTTTTAAATTTGATCAAGCTTGCTCAGACAAAGCGAGTGTGCTATCAAAATTATGAGATTTGCTCCTCATTTGCACTTGATACTTGTCATGCCAGAATAGTGGAGAAACATTGTAATGTATAGATTAAAATTTAGGTATTAAAAAATAAGTGGTATATTTCTTTTTTGCCCTCAATTTTATTGAGTGTGTGAGAATCAGACAAATTCATTTATCATTTACCACAATGTTTGAGAACCATTTGCTTATGGCTAGGCCCAAAAAGGAAACTCTGCTGATGTACTGTATATTATATGCTATGCGTAGTCCTTGGGTTAGCACCATTCATTCAGTCACTTTTAAAGTTGCAACAGTGCTGAACTACTGGTACTTATGACAGGTCCTTGTAGTTCTGGTCATTGCAGCATCCCCACACTCATATAATGATTTCAATGTTCCCTTCAATTGGGAAGCCAATAGGAAGTTGAAAGTTTTAATTGCATGAGATTCTCACTTACCAGTGGCAAGTGGCAGTGCTGGAACTGCAGTTGTTAAATGATGCAGTCTCATGGTATTGTGTTTTACAATCCCCACTTGCTAAATAATCATACTAAAAGAGATTGCAGTAGAAATGGACAATGAAGAAGAATTTTGCTTCTATTGTGAAACTTTTGCTTGGCTTCAATTATGTTTCTCCCCAGCTATTAATCTTTCATGTCAATACTAAGAATACTAAATAATTTGCCTATAGAAATAGAATTTCAATGTTACTTGTTCCATGGCAATTTTAATTAAATTAGTTGCAGTTAGTAGTAATCAGTGGGGAATCAAATTTTATTTTCCACTTTCTAGCAATATGTTGTAGTAACAATGATTCCTATGCATGTTTATTCTAAAGGCAAGTCTTATTCAGTAGGACTTATTACTAGGTGAGCTCATGATGATTGTAGGGTTTTGGGTTTTTTTTTTCCCAATAGCAATGGAATAAATGCATCCCAAAAACAATAATCTGTAACAACTAGTTAAAACTTACATCCTGATTAGACATCTCCCAGTATGGTCTTTCTCCATATGACATTACTTCCCACATGACAATTCCATAACTCCATGCATCGCTTGCAGAAGAAAATTTCCTGTAGGCTATAGCTTCAGGAGCAGTCCATCTTATTGGTATTTTTCCACCCTGAAAATATACATTGAAAAATTCTCAGTATTTAAAACTAGCAAAAAATACTCTCCACTGAATAATCCTACAAACATATTAAAATAAATGAAATTCATAACTGCTGATAGAAACATAAACATTCTGTTATAGTTCATGTATTAACATAATATTGCTTTTGTAATGTTGTATCATAATTGAAAACGAAATGCATTTTGGTTCTTTAAGGCACTTAATATTGTTAACCATATTCAGACTGAGTAGGTGGCAAATTGTCTTCACTTTGATCATGAAAATCATTACTGTTTTCTTTGTATTCAAAATATGATGCAGAATAAATCCTTCTGAAATAAAGTTTGTTCGCTAATACTATATTTATCTGAAATATATTGTGGCTCATCTATACTTTGTAGTTATTATTTTCATAACACATTTGGCTTCCACTTTTGTAAACATTGTTCTAAACTATGCACCTTGGTTAAATTCAAGTCTAAACCATTTCTGCTTGTAAATCATGTTTGCTAAATGAGGGTTGCAAATGTTACTACCACAAAGTAATACACTAGCTTTCATGTAATTGGTTGTAAAAATCTGCCAATGATACATTACATTAGTTATTTTTTAACAGTAATCAAAATATAATTTTTGTTATCTTAAATATTAATTTATTTATTGAAGAATAAGTTTTGAATCCAAATCCAGATAGTGTCAAAATGCACTCAAAATGCATGCATTAAAGTTTGTAATGTAATATATTTGCTAAGTAAATTTTGTTAAGTAAACGAATGTTTTGTGATTTTTCTGTTTCAATTCATTTTTTAAAAATATTTTTGAATTTATTCCGTTAATCTTCACAATTATTTCAATTCAAAAGAACAAAAAAAGCAGCTAGTCATATGGTCTCACAAGAACATTGGCACTGTTTAAATATCTATGATAGATATAAGAGAAAACAGTTAAAACTGGGAAAAGAATTATTATGGGCACATGCTAAATAAAAAGACATTATTTATTATTATTACTGTATTGCCAGCAATATCTGAAGTTTCTTTAGATTTTAATTCTTTTTCCTTTTTCCCATTCCTGCCTTTTCCCCATTTCTCAAAATGTAAATTCTAATTCATATATTTCTTTATTTTTAAATAGAAGCATTGCACCAGTATCCTTGTTTCTAAATTAATTCTGATAATTTTTCCAATTAAATTAAAAAAAAATGAAATGAAAGAGATCAAGAGACTCTAAAATAGAGAAAACTAATAGTATAAAGGCATTTAATTGCTTGCAAAGTTCTAAAATCTCCATACTAATACCATGTTTGAGGCATACATTCTTCTCCAATGCCAGTTATGTTATTCCATATGTAGTTTTCTAACCTAATTTTGAGGGTAAGTGTTCTGTATTAGCATTCTTGGAAAAACCGCACCCTGATTGGCCCACCTGAACTGAAGCCCGATTGGCTGACTGACTGGCCGGGATTGGAGCGCTAGGAACCTACCGCGATTGGCCGAGCCGATCGCGGGAAATTCGAAGCGCTGCCATTGGCCGCCGAGCCGCCGGCCGGCTGTATAAAGCCAAGCGGTTTTACACAGTTGCTTTTGTCCATAACCAGAGCTGAATAAAAAGAGCTGAATGTTCACTAAGCGTCTCGCCTCTTTTGTGACCCGATCCCGGATCTAACACTGGCGACGAAGGTGGGATTGTGAGGCGAGGACCAACTAGCACGTGGCACCGGTGACCAGCGCCTACAAGATGGCCAGTACCGTGCCACCCGCTCCATTCGACCCAGCGACCGAAGACTGGGAGTCCTATATTGACCGCTTCCAGATGTTTCTGGAATGCAGTAACCTCAAGGACGCCAACGGCCAGAGGAAGCGGGCAGTATTCCTAACGCACTGCGGGGCCGCGGTGTTCAAAATGGCCAAGGTGCTCGCGAGGCCCGCAGACGTTAAGGAGATGGATTGGGCTGATCTCGAGCCCATCCTGCGCCGCCATTACGCCCCCACCGTGCCGATCCTCATCCGCAGGTATGATTTCTACCGCCGGGACCAGCGCGAAGGCGAGTCCATCAGCGATTTTGTGGCCCAGCTGCGGAACATGGGAGGCCCCTGCGAGTTCCCCGAGCTGGACCAAGCAATCCGGGACCGACTCGTCCTCGGACTCCGAGACCCCGTGCTGCAGAGCCGGCTGATGGCCAAAGGCAACATCTCCCTCGCCGATGCCCTCGCCGAGGCCACCGCCGCCGAGGCCACCCGCCAGTCCGCAGCACGGATGAGACAAACCAACGCGCCGGAACGGCCACCCACCAATGAGGCGACCCCAGCCGCCGCGAAGCCCCGGGACACCAGCCAGCGGGAGACGACCGCACACCATGGCGACCTCGAATCCCAGCCTGATACCGAGGATGAGGACGAGGAGATACATCGGTTGCAGACCGAACGTGATCGCCGAGACCACCGGAGTCGTAAGTCGGGGTTCCGGTGCGCCGGTTGCGGCGGCGATCACCCCCACTCCAAATGCCGTTTCCTCGACGCCATTTGCAGGCATTGTGAGAAGCGGGGGCACATCGCCAAGGTGTGCCGAAACAAGAAGAGCTACAGCCCGCAGCGCCGAGGCGACAGCCCACGACGACGGGACGGCACCCCACCCAGACACCGAGACCGACCCGCGGAGAGCCGGTGGAGCCGCAACAACCGGAGCCGACGACTCAGCGAGGCGCAGCGGCGCGAAGAAACCCATCAGACGGTCGTCATCGGCCATTCATCAACCACCGACGCCCGGAAGGTACACGTGGCCTTGAGCATCGAGGACCGGCCCTGCGAGATGGAGGTGGACTCCGGGTCCTTCCTCTCAATGGTCTCATGGCGCACAATCAAGCGCCTGGTCCCGACCATCCGCCGCAACGAGCTGGACGACCAGAAGCTAATCCTGAAAGACTACCAGGGAAATCGCATCCCTGTAGTTGGCATCGGGCACTTCAAGGTAACGTTCAAGAACCACACTGACGTCCTGCCGCTCACGATAGTGGACCGGGACCGCCCCAGCCTGCTCGGCCTACAATGGTTCGCCCCGCTCGGCATCGAAGTAACCGGCATCCACCGCACGGACACGGCCGACTGGGAAGCGACCCTCGTGAGGGATTTCCAGGAAGTTTTCGACAACTCGTTAGGCAAGTACCGTGGGCCCCCTATATCGTTCAACCTTAACCCCAATGTCTCCCCTATCCGCCTAAAGCCCCGGCAAGTGCCTTTTGCGCTCAAACCAAAAATCGACGAGCAACTAGACAAGCTCGTCGCACAGGGGGTGCTTGAACCCATCGACCATGCCCGTTGGGAGACGCCCATAGTCACCCCTATCAAGCCCGATGGCTCCATTAGAATATGCGGGGACTATAAGGCCACCCTTAATCACGCGCTACAGCAAAGCGCCTACCCCGTCCCAGTGGTGCAGCACCTCCTGCACTCACTGGGGGGAGGCCGGGTCTTCGCAAAACTCGACTTGGCTCAAGCCTACCAGCAACTGCCGGTCGACGCGGAGACAGCAGAAGCGCAAACGATTGTCACACACCGGGGGGCTTTTCGTTGCAACCGACTCCAATTCGGAGTCAGCGTCGCCCCGGGAGTCTTCCAAAGCCTCATGGAGAGGCTCCTCCAGGGCATCAAAGGGGTGGTTCCCTACTTTGACGACGTGCTGATCGCAGCCGCCGACAGAGAACAATTGGAGATCCGTTTAAGGGCGGTGCTTAACAAATTCAAAAACGCTGGCCTTAAAGTCAAAAGGGACAAATGTCAACTACACACCGAGAGGGTCGAGTTCCTGGGCTACCTTCTGGACCGGCACGGAATACACCCGACCGGGAAGAAACTCAGGGCCATCAAGGAAGCCCCCACACCGACCAACAAGGCGGAGCTACAAGCATTTCTGGGGTACTTAACTTTTACAATGTTTTCCTACCCCAAAAGGCGACCGCGGCGGAACCCCTACACCGGCTACTCGATAAGGCGGCCACCTGGACCTGGGGGAAGCGGGAAGAGACTGCGTTCCAACGAACCAAGGACTTGCTAACATCAGACGCGGTTTTGATTCAGTACAGCGAAACCCTCCCGCTCTCGGTAACATGCGACGCCTCACCCTTCGGTATAGGAGCAGTCCTCAGCCACACCCTACCCGACGGGACGGAAGTACCCATCGCCTTCTTCTCCCGGACACTAGAAAAACCGGAAAGAAACTACAGTCAACTAGACAAAGAAGCCCTCGCCATCGTCGCTGGAGTTAAAAGGTTCCACGAATACCTTTACGGCAGGAACTTCTCAATCATAACGGACCACAAGCCCCTGCTCGGAATACTCGCAGGGAACAAGGCCACCCCGAACATCCTATCGCCCCGGATGACAAGGTGGTCCGAATTCCTTGCAGCATACTCCTACGAGCTGTCACACCGACCCGGTAAGGCCATCCTACACGCAGACGCACTAAGCCGGGCACCGCTACCGAACGTAGATGACGACCCGGCACCCACAACGACGACCCTACAGATCGAGACCATGCCGTGCCCGCTCTTAACCGCGCCAGACATTGCCCATGAAACAAATAAAGACAAACGGCTGGCGCGGGTACTGAGCTGGGTAGAGCGGGGATGGCCAGAAGTTGAAGGTAACGAATATTTCAAACCCTTCAGAAACCGCCAAACTGAGCTGTTCTCACAAAAGGGCTGCATTCTCTGGGGCGACCGGGTGGTCATACCGGAAACACTGCGAGACAGAGTGTTGGCATTGCTGCACGAGGGACACCCAGGGGTCGTCAAGATGAAAGCCCTGGCCAGGAGCTATGCTTGGTGGCCGGGGATGGACAAACAAATAGAAACTTGGGTCGCCGGGTGCAGCAAGTGCCAAGAGTCAAGAGCCAACCCCCCCGCCGCCCCGATCCGGGAGTGGGAAACCCCGAGAGGACCATGGTCGCGATTGCACATAGACTTCGCCGGACCAACCAAGGGGTATACATTCCTCATCACCGTAGACGCTTAC